TTCCAGACGATGGTGGTGGCGGAGCGCTCTGGAACGGACTTGGTGGAGCGCGTTGGAATGGACTTCCAGCCGATGGTGACGGTGTTGGCGTGCCAAAAGGAGGCGGGGCTTTCTGAAACTCACTTGGTGGTGGTGGGCTCTGGAACTGGCTTCCACTTGGTGGAGACGCTGATGGGCTCTGGAACGGTGCGCTTTGGAAGGCCGGTGGAGTAGTCGTATTTGGCGGCGCTGGAGTGCTCTGAAACGGACTTGGAGGAGCCGCTGGAGTGCCCGGGAACGAGCTTGACATTGCCGGAGAGCTCTGGAACGGGCTTCGAGATGCCGGAGGACTTGAGAACGGGCCTGGAGTTGCCGGAGGTGTTTGGAACGGACTTGAAGTTGCCGGAGGTGTTTGGAACGGACCTGGAGTTGCCGGAGGTGATTGGAACGGGCTTGGAGTTTGTGGAGCGCTTGGCGGAGGTGGCGTCTGTGAGAACGAGCTTTGAGTTGCCGGAGCACTCTGGAACGGGCTTGGAGTTACCGGGGCACTCTGAAACGGGCTTGGAGCCGCCGGACTCTGGGATGTTGGAGCGCTGGAGCTTGACGCTGCTGGAGCAACCGGAGACTCAGTTGCAGGTCCGGACGTACTCTGGAATGGATTTGAAGCAGCCTGAAAGTTACTCGAATAACCAGAGGTAGTTGATGGTGGTGTTGGTGCTGCTGCTGACGGAGTTTCTGGTGCTGCTGCTGACGGAGTGTCTGGTGCTGCTGCTGACGGAGTTTCTGGTCCTGCTGCTTCCGTTTCTGTGGTTAAGGCTGGAGTTGAAGATTCAAGGCCCGTTAAGGCTGACGCTGATGCTGCTGATGCTGCTGCTACTGCTTCTGCTTGTGGGGGACTCTCCAGCCCGGACGCTGGTGCGGCGGGAGCTCCTACTTCAGAAGCTGTCACTGGAGGCGACGGTGGCGCAGCAACTGCCTCGGCTCCTGTCCGCGGTGCCATCGATGGCGCCTTGATAGTCTTCTTCTCCTTAATAACCTCCAGCTGCTTGGTGGCCTCTTCTATGAAGGCCTCATAGCCTTCTATGTTTCTGATAACAATGTCTATCTGTAAATCACACAGTTTAGATGAATCAAGCACAAGCAAGGTTACCTGTGTAAAGCCTTCACAATTTTCCTTGAGAGTTCTTAAACCAACTTCCGCTCCTTCGATGTATGGATATCTAGATAACCAGTAGCCGGTTATGTTTAGCACTCATCACACATTTCTTACCCATATATACGGCAAGACAGAGGCGGGAACGCAAGATTTACCAAGTTTTCTTTCCTCGCAATATCCAAGGCACTCCTGTGATCCCAGTTAGCTAAGGAAAACCGGAGAAGAGAAACTCTCACTTGTAAGCCTTGATGAGGCTTTCATCAGATTCTCGGACGTTCGTCTGGTCGTTCTTCTTATATACTGGCCCAACCGTGTGAATGACTCTTGAAACAGGAAGATTAAAAGCCCTGCACGTACAGGAACACTCCAGGGATTAATCAACGTCAAAAGTACGTGGACAACCTTGTACTGATAGCATCTCCAACTTCGGCCTTGATTCCCTGAGGAGCAACATCTGGAAGCCTCTGTGTGGCATCCAAAAGTCGAGAACCAGCAGCTTTGAAGAGCACTACAGCGAAAAAAGAAATAGGCATGAAACACCAGCAAACACAAGAAAACATAGATAAGCTTACCAGCATTCACTGCCGGGCCAGTATTAAGTCGCTTGTTTGCAGGAGCAATCTGCCAAGAACAAACAAGGAATTAGCCTCCAAGATCACATCGAAAAGAGAATGAAGAGAACGATATACTGACCACCGCATCCGACTTCCCATCCACAAACCACTTGGACAAATCACCGAAGTATATAGTGCAAGTACACGTCGGGGAGAGCCGGAAGTGCTCGCGCTGGAGAAGCTCCGTGGGTGGCGGAGGCGGAGTGAGCCACTCCATCACCTTGGACTTCTGCTTGGTCGGATCATACGGCCTAGGAGTTCCAGGCTTTGGCCGCGGCGATCCTGGCAGTCCCGGTATCTGACTCCCAGGAAAGTTTAACCCCGGCGAGGAGCTTGGAGGCCTGGCGGACGTGAACTTCGCGTCGGTTGGAGCATTGGGTGCTATGGCCGAGGGTCTCTCGCTCGGGAGAGCGTTGGTCTCGGTAGCAAAAGGCCCTGGCGGTGGAATGGCCGGAGGAGTTTGCATCTGTGGATTGCCCGGCATTGGAGGCGGCGGAGTGGCGGCGTTGTCGAACGGGAGAGGCGGCGGCGGAGCATTGTTTCTTGGCGGGACTGGAGGATTCTGGCCAAAGCTACCGGAATAAGCCGCGCGAGTGGTCGCGGACATTGTCCTGGAGAGGAAGAAGGCCTCCTTTGGCGCCGAGAAGGCGAGGCTCCCAATCCTGCCATCGCCAAACAGGCCGGAGGAATGCGTTCCCAGCGGCGGCAGCCCCCCGAGCTGCGTCACGGCATGCTGCATGATTTCTACACCAAAATGCGCGCTATCAGAATCGCATTCTTCGCTCGAATCGCGAGCTTCGTCATACCTGGAGGAGGGATTTCGAGCGGCGAGAGAGCGGCGCCTCCTTATCCTCGCACCACGCGCGCCCGTAGGGCAATGAGGGCTTTGTCAGGGTTTATGGGAGAAGAAGATAAGCAGCGGTGTCGACGGTCAGGATGCGCCGCCGGCCAATCCAGCGGCGCCGCTCCCAGATATTTCGAGGGAAAAGGAGAATCTACTTAAACAAGGATTAATTAGTCCATGCTTAAGCTAAGAGAGCTCGCGAGGACGAAGCCTCGCGTGATCGTTCGCCAAATTCCCCCTATCGACGATCGATTCGCGGCATTCCAGGCGGAGATCGAGGGCATCGCGGCTCGAATTCGCGCATTGGGAGCGAGCAAAGATCTCGAGGGGCTCAGGCAAATCCAGCGGCGGCTCCGCGAGAGCGACCACCGCGAGAATGCGCTCCTCTGGAACCTCCTCACGCAGAGCTATGGCAACTGTGGCAGCGCGGCAGATGCCCAGAGGAGCTTCCAGCAGATCGAGCGCCCCAGCAGCGTCTCCTGGAACATTGTCATCCAGGCGTGCGCCCGGGGCGGGGATCTCCGTCAGGCGCGCAAGAACTTCGACGCGATGCCAAGACCTAACGTGATCTCTTGGACGGCTATGGTTGCAGCATATGCTCAAAGAGGGCATTTTGACGAATCAAAAGCCTTGTTTGATGCTATGCCCGTTCGCAACGAGGTAGCATGGAACACGATACTCCAAGCCTACGATCAAAACCTTACACGCACCATTTTCTACAAGATGCCGCAGTGGAACAACATTTCTTGCACAGTCATGATCAAAGCATTTGCCGAGAGTGGGCATTTACTGAAAGCACAGAGTTTGTACAACTCTTTGCCTGATCCAGATCCACTCACAAGTACGTGTATGTTACACGCATACTCACAAAGCGGGAAATTAGATGACGTGAAGTTTGTGTTTGACAACATGCCCGTGCGAAACGAGGTATCTTGGAATACCATTATTACTGCATATGCCCAAATAGGGCATTTTCAGGAAACGATGGCGCTGTGGAGAAACATGCCTCTCCACGATCGAGTAAGCTGGAATTCGATGATCCAGGCATTGCTGTTCGTGGGTCTCATAGATCAGGCGAAGGTTGTGTTTGATTGCTTCCCAGGTCCCTGTGTCTTCACCTGGACGAGCATGATCGCGGGGCTGGGACAAAACGGCGCGACGTTGGAAGCGAGGGCTGCCTTCGATGCAATGCCGGAGCGCAACGTCGTGTCGTGGACGGCGCTGCTGCAGGCCTACGCGATGATCGGCGATGTGGCTCTGGCGATCGCTTCGTTCCAGCGAATGCCCCAGTGTAATCTCGTGTCCTGGACCGCGATGCTCACGACGCTGGCGCAGGGTGGTCGGTTGGGCGATGCGAAGGAGTGTTTTGACGCCATGCCCGAGCGCAACCAGGTGTCGTGGAATTCGCTCGCGGCGGCATTTGCTCAGGGAGGAGATCCCGATTATGCTGGAGCAGTGCTGGATCGAGCTCCAGCTCTGGATGATTTCTCGTGGACGCTGTGGATCCAGATGCTGGGCGATTGCGGCTTGGTTGGTCTAGCAAAAGATATCTACGATTACGTTGGGAGGGAGAATGTGGTGGCTGGAAACGCGATGATACAAGCATATGCCCAAAATGGGCATTTAGAGAAATCGCAAACGATTTTTCATATGATGCCGCTAAAGAACGTTCTTGTGTGGAATGCTATGCTCAAGGCCTTTGCGCTGCATAGCCGCGTAACGGAAAGCTCACAGGTATTTGAGAAAGCTCCACTCTGGGACGCACAATCTTGGACTTCTATGATCCTAGCAAATGCCCAAAATGGGTATCTAACCAAAGCCAAGTCCCTGCTTGAGAAATCTCCAGAGAGAACGGTTTTTTCTTGGAACGCTTTGCTGGTAGCGTATGCCCAAAACGGACATGCCCGAAACGGGGTAATCCTTTTCAGAGACATGGTTCTTGACGGATCTTGCAAGCCTGATGACGTCTCCTTTGCGAGCATTCTCAGCGCTTGCGGCCATGCTGGGCGAGTCCGAGACGCTGTGGAGCACTTCACTGGGATGATCTCCGACCACTTCGTCCAGCCGAGCTGCGAGCATTTCCACTGCATGGTGAGTGTTTTGGGCCGTGCTGGTAGATTGGTGGAAGCCGAGAGTTTGATCTACAGCATGCCTTTCGTGCCGGATTCCATCGCCTGGAAGACGCTGCTGAGCTGCTGCCGGATGTATAACGATGTGGAGAGAGCCGAGCACGCGGCCGAGTGTGCGTCGGCGCTAGATCTACACGCCTCCTCGTCTCCTTTCGTGCTTCTGGGTAATCTTTACACGGAAGAACTCCTCGGCGGTGTCCACTCTGGAATGATTGACGATGACCATCAAAGTTTGATCATTGAGTGAGAAGTTTCAGCGATGGGATTGCTGGCTAAAGCTCGAAGATCACGATGGTGGATCCAGAAAGATGAACTTACGGCCGAGAAAGTTAAAAGTCTGACCTTTGGAGAAGAAACTATGGCTCGTTCGTATTGGTGACTCTTAGACTGTTGGAGAGGATTTGCCGTGATTATATCATGAAGCAAAGATCAAGCACAGCATGGATCATCATCGCATCATCATCATGCTGTGTAGAAAAACAAGAATCTCTCACTTTCGTACCTCTAATTGAAAACCTCTGGATGGATGTACGCTGCTCGGCCAGTTCTATTGAATTCGCCATCAATGCGAGGCTTTTGTTGCGGTCCACCCACCAGCGCCACCACCAACAACAACACAGCAACAGAGCAAGCAACAAAGGAATGGAGATGGAGTGTTAAGCGTTTCTTCCACAAGCTGGTACCTTCGAATGGGCTCTTTCTTCTGCCAACGAGAGAGAAAGATCCACGAAAAACACGAGCCTGCTCGATTCGATTAGATCTGACGAGCTCTTCGAGTGATTCGGTTCCTGCAAGATCGACTGCAAGCACAAAGATTTCACACCCACGGCTAAAGAAAACTCGAGCTTGATCGAGAGTGAGCACCACACTGAGGGGAATGAAGCCTGGTCCGAGACAAAGCTGTGATCACAACCTTGTGTGCGTAGCCTTAGTATCAAATCAATCTCTCGAGCTAGGCTACACTCCCCACATCCTGGTTCTCACTGAGGAAAAGGAGGATTGCTCTCGCTATCCTGTTGTTTCCCTTGCAGTCACGGCCTCCCATTGCAGCAAAGATCCAGTCATTCTCTCAAATCTCACGAGACGGTGACAGACAAAGCAGATGATCTAGCTGCAACATAGTAAAAATCCAAGAGCTAGGAGATCTCCTCCAAGAATTGAGCTGAGAAAATTGCTTGGCTTTTGGGCTTGGAAACTTCTAATCTGGGACAGGAGCAAGAAACAAGCAGACTCTCTGGGGTAGGATTCTGGAAGCCTTGGAAGGCAAGAAAGAGAAAGAAAGAGTGGCAAGAGCAATATCAACAAAGCCAAGCTAGCGCGCACAGGAAGATCAAACCAAATGGCTAAGAAACAAGAGGAAAAACTTGGAAGAAGAAGAAGAAGAAGAAGAACAGTCCTTCCTCTCTTGAAGAAAACTCTCTGCTATATCATAAAAAAGAAGCTTAAAAACAAACCAGAGAGAATGGCACCACTCCACTCATATAGGATGATTCCCTGGAGGCAGTAGTTTCCAAAGATTTGAAAGATAAGGCCTTGGTTCTGTGCCAGCCACTGGCTACTGCTAATGCTAAACAAGCATTTTGGCTGGAGCTGGCACAATTGGGCAAAGGCATTAAATGGAGCACAATCCCTTTTTCAAACAAAATAAACAAATGAAAGGAAGAAAATATTTTGGGAGACATGAATAGTTGTGTTTTCATGTTGACCTGTTCAAGCATTTCAAACAAGCAAAAATATAATTGATTCATTTCCATGCACGTATACTAAATGGTATTTTGAAAAGCACCACTGGTAAAGTCGAATTAGATAAGATAAATGTATTGTAAATACTTTGGCTGATCGGAATGTTCTAGATAGATTTTTATGGTGAATTTTACAGAGTTTCTGAATGCCTTGAGAGGGCATTTTGAAAACTGTTGTCTCAAGCAGCCAGCTTGCTCAGATGCAAGCGAATCAATGCGCAAATAGACCCACGAATATTCTAATCCCATTGTCCCAGCAGCATGAGTGACATCCAGCATTCCACCTGGTTAGATTACGAAACCCCATACGCGTATTGGCTAGTCAAACACAAAGATACACCTAGAAAATACATATGAATGCAAACTTTGTTTCTTTCTCCCGTCGTCAGGCATCCGTAACTTTCACAGCGGGACGAAGAGAAATAAAGAAAAATAGATTGAAATAAAAAACACAAAAACAAGCACAACTTACAAACAAGCAAAACCAAACAAAAGGGGGCACATTGCTCAATGATCTCACTGCTCTACGCATATCTATACAAGCTGGTACCAGCAATATGTGTCGCCCTTTTGTATACTGATACCGGAGAAAAAGCTAGAGTTTCCTCTGCGGCCCTTGTTCCCTTGCGCCAAAACGAAAACAAAGACAAAACCAAAATGCCAGTCCAGGGCATTTGGCGTCCACCTTTCGAAGATCCCCTCCCCGAATATTCTCTGCTTTAGAAAAATGAAAAGATTTGCAGGGGGCCCATGATTGCCGTTTGATTCCCTCCAACACGCATTATTGCATATGCCTTCTTTTCTGTAGCTTTTCAAGGGGAAAAAGGAGGGAGGAATATTCAAAGCGAGTGTTGGGGTATATTCGCCCCACCGCCAAACGACGTGAGTGGTGCTATGCATCATTGTTAGATTTTTTTTTCTTTTTTCTTTTCTTGCGTGATCGTCGCATGAAGCCAGAAAAATTAACAAAAGATATAATCTTTAAAGCTTTTTTCTTGCCTTTTGGTCCCAATGATAAAGATCAAGACGATAATTATAAATCGATTGGAATGAAAATGGCATGGTATGATGGTCGTGATGATGCATTTTAATTTGCACTCACTTTCATGATCCTTGCGAAAACCTTTCCAGGCAATTCGAAAACACAAATCTCCTGGGCGATGATTAAAGGTGTCTAAAGGTTTGCTAAAACTACAGGTTTTTCTCACTGTACTAGGAGGAATCTCTCGTGGGCTGTGTGTGTTTGAGCAAAGACTTGGTTAATCTTGCGAGCAATGGAATCTTTCGTGTAATGTGAGATGGGGCTTTAGACTAATCTGTTTGGAGTGGATCCCGGAATCTCTAGAGATCCGGGCGTACGGAGGTGAAATCTCTGGACAATCCAACTGGTCCTGGTGGAAGTCAATGTGTTTAAAATTTGTTGCGAGATTGATCGATCAATGAACCCACGATCTTCTTGACTGTCCAAGAGAAGAGAAAAATCTCCAGACGATGTGGGAAGTTCTCTGGTTTACAAAGAGAATGAAAACTTCCGTACAATATTGACTGGATTTTCTTAGAGAAAGGAAAGCTTTACCACGAGTTCTAGAAGCCGGCCACGTCAGCGACCAACTTTCTCTCTTATACAGCTGGCGCGCTCGCACTGGCTGTCATTCAAATGTTCGGTGCTGCCAGACAGGATGCGCTTGCCGACGTGTCACACTGCTAGTGGTCCCCGTTTTAGTATACGCTGTGGCCGAAATGCTAGGTCGTTTTTGGGTATTCTAGGGTTCTCTTGGCAGCGAGGTCGGATCAATCGATCGAGCAGCGGGCGAGGGCGCCGGGCGGCAGTAGCAGCTGTTCTAGGATGTCTTCCTTTTCTTTCGCCGGGACGCAGCAAAAATGCAAGGCATGCGACAAGACAGTCTACTTGGTGGATCAGCTCACTGCCGATGGCGTCGTCTATCACAAAGCGTGCTTTCGATGCCATCACTGCAAGGGGACATTGAAGGTAATTGGGAGACTGAGATTGAGATTGAGAGAGAGAGAGAGAGAGAGATGAGGATTTGATTCAAGATCATGTTTCTCTCTCTTCCAATTTGAGCATGATAGAAATCTTTGGTTTCTTCGATTGCAGCTTAGCAATTATGCTTCGCTGGAGGGCGTCTTGTATTGCAAGCCCCATTTCGATCAGCTCTTCAAGCTCACGGGAAGTTTCGATAAGAGTTTCGAGTCAGGTAGGAACTTTATCTTCTAAAAGAATGTATTTTTTCAAATTGATCGCGTCACGACTCCACTGTGGATTGACAGGACTTCTACACAAGCCCGTTGGCGAAGAAGCGGTAATTCAAAAAAAAGAACAAGACTTTTGACTTTGTGGCAACCAACTTTCGGCTGGTTTTTTTTGTTTTGTTTTCGCAACAGAGCAAGACGCCTTCCAAGACATCGCTCTTGTTCTCTGGGACTCAAGAAAAATGTTTTGCTTGCGGGAAAACTGTGTACCCGATCGAGAAGGTTTGTCTAGTAGGATGTTTGGTATCTAGCGAGTGACGATTTCTTTGATCTTACAGGTCACTGTTGAGAACACATCGTATCACAAGTCTTGTTTCAAATGCAGTCACGGCGGCTGCACGATATCTCCCTCGAACTACCAAGCTCACGAAGGCCGGCTTTACTGCAGACATCACTACGCTCAGCTCGTCAAGGAGAAAGGGGACTTTAGCAATCTGTCCAAGACACCCGGAAAGGCAGCAGCGAAGTGAAGCGGATGAATCGAAGATCACGGAAAAAAAAAAGACAGAGGAGATTGTTTGGAGTCTACCATTTGCAAGGTTTGATTGAAAACGCTGCTGCCGAGGTGAGTGGTGGATTGAATTGTGTGATGTAAACGAAAAGAGAGAGTATATATTTCCTAGAGGTGTGGTTTCGTTTGTTTATAAACGAGACTGTATAAAATCGTCGAGCTTCTCTTTTTTGTGTTCTATGGAATGAAAATAAAACTTTTGTACGGGCGTGATCACGTGTACGGAGTTTAAACATGGCAAACTTGGGTGTGGCTATGACGATGGCGGCCACATCCTTGGTTCCAGCGATCCACCCCATTCCAAGGTCAGTGGCAGCGCCATTCTCGGCTAGAATCGCGAGAGTCTCCGCTAGATCCATCCCTCGCTGCTCCATCTCATCGCCCACCAATGTGGATTGGGAGCCCTCTTCGACGAGCGCTAGCGCGCATTCCGTGAAGGATTTGCTGGAAGATCTCAAGGCCGTGGGAAGGATGAGGATCATCGTCAACACCGGCGTGGGGGTGCTGGAATCCGTGGTGCCGAGCCTGGACAAGCTCTTCTACAAGGATTTCCCGGGAAAGGGCGAGTACGCGAACTTGATGATCAAGGAAGACAACGTGGACTTCCATTTGCTCGTGGACAAGGTCTCGTCGGCCAAGCTGATACAGGGGAAATCCATGCAGGGAAACATCACGACTTACATGGTGAGGTTCTTCGATGAGAGCGAGAGGAGCGTCGCGAGCTTGATGGTGATGTGGAGACCCGATGAAGTTGGCGCTTACGACGATGGTCAGGTGGATTCTTTCAAGGATTTGATCGCCAAGTACGGCAGCGATGTCAAGTTTTCGTGTTCAAGAAGTTGAAATTCCTTTCCAGAAACTTGATAAATACAAGTCTGGAGTTACAACATATGAACCTCTAGAAGATTTTCTCAGTGTGAGACTGAGGCTCTTGGAAACCTTAGAGTTCCTTTTCTGGGTCTTTTGGCCACAAGAGGAGAATTCCTCCTGGTTGCCTCACTTGCAGTGATCATCTTTAGAAACAAAGAGCATGAAGTTGCCAAAGCTGCCGGAAGAATCCCCAGCCGGATGATGGAAAGAAGAATGAAAAACGTGATCGCTACTGCCTCTGGGGACAGTGATTTTTCCCGAGAAATCGCAGTTCTTCGTGTTCTCGTCATTGTCGTCATTGTAGCGAAAGGATTCTCGAATGCTAGGTTTTATACTATGGTAGCCTTTTGGCTAATTCCTAATTAGGGAATGGGTAAAGTTAGGGTTAGGGCTGAGATTTTTGTGTCAGCCCTAGCCCTAAACCTTGCGTGGAGACGCGGGTTTTAATCGCGGCTGTGGGACGAGGCGATGAGCATGAGCTTCTTCTTGCGCCAGGCGTTGCGCTCCCATCGCGTAAGCTCTCTTCTTTTCTCGCGCGCCATAGATTTCTAGCGAGCGCGCCAATGGATCGATTCGATCATTCCTTCTGTGCTTCTAGGTTCTTTACCCGCGACGCCCTTTCCACTACTCCCCGCGCAACCAGAGCATTTTCCAGGAAATCTCGAAGAAGCTCAAGGGCGAGATTGACAGGTTTGCGAATTTTCGCATTGGTTTGTTTCTCTGACGAGTTTTTCCCAGCAATCCCGAGTTGCAAAAATCGATCAAGGAGTTCAAGGAGAAGGCAGACGATTTCAAGAGCAGGTAATTCTTTCTCACAGCTTTGAGTGATGGAAGGGGGAGTAAGAAACTAGAAAAGATCTTCTCTAGTCTGTTTTTTTTCTTGGAGTGGAGTTTTTTTGTGGAGGATGGTCCTTGGTATAGGCTCAGACATATTTTTGATGTTTGAGGGACGCAGATCTCCACCCTTGGTGCAAAGGCTCTCTGATATTGGCAGAGGAAATGCAGAACTAAGGAGACCGCCGAGCATTTGTACAAGCACGTTGATGCTGCTCGGGAAGAGGCGGAGACGAGAGCAAAGCAAGTGTCGAGCGTGATCAAGGAAAAGATATCCGAGGCATCAGAACAAGTAAGCTTGCTTTTTCTTTCTTTGCCTTCTTGTTCCAATCAAAGTTTGTGTGCTGATATGACTGACAGGTCAGGGGCAGTGTGATTCCTAGAGCTGACAAATTACAAGAAGGGGCACGAGACGAGAAAACCGAAGAATCTTCCAAGGCTGGGATCGCTGAAGATGCTGCCAAGGCGGAAGAAGCTCCCAATGCACAAGAGGCTTCGAAGGCTCCCAATGCACAAGAGGCTTCGAAGGTTCCCAATGCAGAAGAGGCTTCGAAGGTTTCCAATGCAGAAGAGGCTTCGAAGCCTCGAGAATCTCCCGATGCGCAAGAGGTTCCCAAGGAGGACAAGGAACACGGAGGCACTGATTCCTCACAGCAAAAGGCTCAGCAGTCGGCTCCCGGTGGAGGAGCTTTCGCTGGGAAAGTTAAGTCGGTTCTGGACTCTATGCGAATAGGAAGTGTAGCGTCAGTGGCGAAGGACGGCTACAACTTGATTGTGGAGGAGCTTACGTCGACTCGGAAAGTGAAGAAAAGCAAGCCAGGATTCTCCAGAAGCAGCGCAACGGATATCGTTCCTGTTGCAAAGACGACCACTGGCTGGCGGAAACATTTGGACGACTTGAAAGAGAAGGTAAGATTGCTCTTTCGTTTTTTTTTTCTCTTTTTAGCTAAGTGAAACGGTGTTGCAGGCCACTTCTCATCCATTGTACAGGCGCTTTAAAAATGTCAAAGATCATCCAGTAGTTCAAAAAACCAACGAGGTACTTGCTGGTTTCGTTATTTGTATCCCCTGTCTTAAACATGACATGTACAGATAGCGGACGAAATGAGGGATAGGTGGGAAACGAGCGATAGTCCTGTCGTGCATAAGATTCAAGAGTACGTATTGCAGTCTCTCCACGCTTGATTTCACTGTTGATTTTTTCTCTACAGCCTAAACGAATCGTTTTTTGGCGAGACGGCAACTGCAGCGGCTTTCAAAGAGATTCGCAGCAGGGACCCGTAAGGAATCTCACGTCAATCACTTTGTCTTGTCTTGACGCTCGAGTTTTTCAGGACCTTTTCTTTTCCTGACTTTGTCCTGGAAGTCCAAGAAGATATCAGACCGATACTGACTGCGTATCTCAAGGTGAAACATTCTTAATTGAGGCTTTTCACGATTTCTTACTCATCGTATGGGGGCCAGGGAGATTATGATACGCTGAGAAAGAAAGTTTGCAAGGAGGTCGTAGAGCGATGTCGCGCAGAACACAGAGCACTTCAAAGCCAAGGACTATATGTCGATACCAAGGTAGAAACTGCAAGCTTTCAGCTTTCCAGGACGCTTTCTAAGCTGCTCTTTCTCACAGATTCTTTACATATCGGAGTTGGAAGTCAGGGAATCGAAACTAATCGGAAACGAGCCAGTTATCATTATCTCTGTGAGTTCCGCTTTGTTTTTCTAATCCGTGCTAAAACGCTTCTCGCCGTGTTAGTTCCAAACGCAGCAAAACTACTGTGTGCGCGATGAGTTCGGTCACATACGAGAAGGATCAAAGGCAAGTATAGTTTCTTCTTCTGTTTGCCGGAAAGCATCTAACGAGATCTCGATGGATCGCGCAGGACGATATCCGGACGATCCTCTACGCTTGGGCGATGCAGCAAGTTTCTCTAGACGAAATGGATCCGGACGAGTTCACTCCGCGATGGCGACTGCGTGAGATGCAACAAACTGGATTTCCAGCGATCATTTGATCCCAGCTCTCGTTCTTATATTTTTTGTTCGTTCTCTAGCGCTAGCAAGAGCTTCTTCTCCGGTGGAACACGGCCTTAAAGAGCTTATAATTTTTTACTTGAATAAAACCCCGTTAGCATTCTAAAAGGGGTACGCTAGAAATTTAGGGTTTGTGGAGCGTTTTGGGAGGGCGCTCTTGATCGCTCTCCGGATCATCGATTCCAGCGCGCGGCGGCGAGGGATCGTCACAGAATGGTACGCGCTGCTAGCCTAGGCGCCGGATTTCACAGCTCACGATCGATGCGTTTGCGGTTTTCTTGTTCCAGTCGACGCTTGCGGCAGCCCGAGCTGATAATTTCTACTTCCCTCCAGAATGGACGCCCAAACAGGTACTGGATGAGCTTGTTCGATTTCGGATTTTCTAATCTCTTGGAGCAGGGATCTCTCAACAAATTCCAAGGCCAGCATCCCCTCAGAGAGAGGGCGAGGAAGATCGACCAGGGAATTCTGGTCATCCGATTCGAGATGCCTTTCAACGTGTGGTGTGGTGGATGTCACTCGATGATCGCCAAAGGTGTCCGGTTTAACGCGGAGAAGAAGCAAATTGGAAAGTACTACACGACCAAGGTATGGAAAAGAAAGTTTGCCAGGAAGTCCTTAAGAATTTCTTTCGTGGTCTAGATATGGAGTTTCTCGATGAAAGCAGCGTGTTGCAAGCACGAGATAGAGATCCACACCGATCCCAAGAACTGCGAGTACGTGATCGTCAAGGGAGCCGAGAGAAAAACCGAGACTTACGATGCGGCTGATGCTGGCTCGCTCGTTGTAGCAACCGGAGAAGGTAAGATCCCTCGCAAAAAACATGGTGTTTTGCTCACAGCTCTATTTTTTTTCCTTTGGCAGACAGGGAGAAGTTGACGGATCCTTTTGCCAAACTGGAGCACGACGAAGAGGACATTCTCAAGGGAAAGGAATCGGCGAAGCAACTGATGCTCTTGCAGAAGCAGTCGGATATCAAGCACGGAAACGACTACTCCGTCAACAGAGCTCTTCGAGCGCAGCTAAGGGTACACGACTCGACTCTCATTCGTTTCTTCGTCTTCCACTCGTGCTAACGTCGATGGTGGCAATCCAGGATCAAAAGAAGAGGGTGGCCTTGGAAGAGGCGCACTCGAAGAAGCTGGGCATTGGAATCAGGCTGCTCCCAGCGTCCGAGGACGACACACAAGCAGCGGGGAGCGTTCGTTTCGCGCAGAAATTCGACAAGAACAGGAGAGACAAGAGAGCGGCGATCCGCGCCACCTCGATCTTCGCGGAGAGCGGCGCCTATGGATTGCCACCGGCAGGCAGCGATCAGAAGCTCCAGCTCCTGGCCAAGCGGCGGAAGATCCAGGCCGCGGAGGCTCAAAGCTTACTGCGCGGAAGAATCAAGGCTTCGTCGCTGGCGGCCCAGAGATCATAGCAAAGCAAAGCAAAGTTCGTGGCAAGTAAAGTTTTTTCTTTCGTTTTTACCAACTGAGCGTGGATTTCCAGTAGAAGAAAAGGTGGCGATGAAAGAGCTTAAAACCCTTGTAAAAATTGTAATAGATCATCTCTTCCACTTGAGAGTTTCTTCCTTTTATCGGTTCCACCTGGTGTTTATTCCAACTGGTTCTTTCGTTAAATTTTCTTGCCCAGTTGGAAGAATGGACGATCCAAAGTAATCCAGGAAGAATCTTTTTAATTTGTGGTAACGAGATGGTAGTAGCTTTAATCCAGGTTACCCAGTGTGGCACAGTGTGTGTGTGGAGGCGAGGAAACGAGAGTGGCGATGGCGGCAGCGGCGGCGCTGCTACACTCCTCCGCCGTGGGAGGAGCTCCACGACCCTCCTCGGCCAAGCCCAAGGCCAAGATCCTCCCACCGCCATCGCTCCTGGTAACTCGATTCTCTCCATCTCCACTAGCAGCAGCCGCGATCTCGTCGCGAATCTCCCAGTTGGGCTCCGTGCTGGTGGCCGATCTCCATCGCCCACTTCCTCGCCAGCGCCGGGGCGGGCAAATCCGGGCCTCCACAGCGGCGGCGCCGCCGCCACTCCCGGCCGAGGTTCCCAAGCCCAAGTGGGAGGGCGCCGATCTCAAGAGCTTGGCCTTCTCGGTGGCGACTGGGCTGCTGGTGTGGCTCATCCCACCCCCGCAGGGCGTGACGAGCAGCGCATGGCATCTCCTCAGCATCTTCCTGGCCACCATCGTCGGGATCATCACGCAGCCTCTCCCGCTCGGCGCGGTGGCGCTCATGGGCCTGGGCGCCGCGGTGCTCACGAGAACTCTCTCCTTCGCGGCAGCCTTTAGCGCGTTTGGCGATCCCATCCCCTGGCTCATCGCGCTCGCCTTCTTCTTCGCCAAGGGATTCATCAAGACCGGGCTGGGCAACCGCGTCGCCTACCAGTTCGTGGCGCTCTTCGGCAAGACCTCTCTCGGGCTGGGATACAGTCTGGTTTTCAGCGAAGCTCTCCTCGCGCCGGCGATTCCATCCGTGTCCGCCAGGGCTGGGGGGATCTTCCTGCCGCTCGTCAAGGCGCTGTGCCTGGCTTGCAACAGCAAAGTTGGCGATGGCACCGAGCGCCGGCTTGGAGCGTGGCTCATGCTTACGTGCTTCCAGACCAGCGTCGTCTCCTCGGCGATGTTCCTCACGGCTATGGCGGCGAATCCTCTGAGCGTGAACTTGGCGACTGGCAGCACGGGGTTGGCGATTGGGTGGACGGACTGGGCGGTGGCGGCGGTGGTTCCCGGGCTGGTGTCGCTGCTGGTTGTGCCGCTGCTGCTCTACGTTATCTATCCGCCGACTGTCAAGAGTAGCCCGGATGCGCCGAGGCTGGCCAGGGAGAAGCTTGACAAGATGGGACCGATGAGCAAGAACGAGTGGATCATGACTGGAACTTTGATCGTCACGGTAAGGAGAAGTCTTTCTTCTCTCTCGATCTTTCGTCCATTTGATCATCGGTTCTTTCTCCTCCGATCTCCTTCTGCTTCTCTGGTCGCCAACTTTTCTCTTTTTCATTTTGCAGCTCTATCTAGAGTTACTCCGATCGATCTCTTCCATTTCTAACCATTGCTCGTTTCTCTCTCATTCTTTTTTCCTTCGTATCTTTCTCCTCCTCCTTTGATCTTCCTCGATCGGTTCTCTGGTCGCTAACTTTTCTCTTTTCGACGTGCTAGCTCTATCTTCGATCAGAGTTCCTTGCATTCTTTTCTTCCTCGATCGATCTCTTCCACTTCTAACCATCTGTTTTCCTTGGTTTCCAGGTCGGGCTGTGGATCTTCGGCTCGGCTATCAAAGTCGACGCCGTCACCGCTGCCATCCTCGGCCTCTCGGTTCTACTCACCACCGGAGTCGTGACATGGAAGGAGTGCCTGGGCGAAGCCGTTGCTTGGGACACACTGACATGGTTCGCAGCTCTCATCGCCATGGCCGGATATCTCAACAAGTATGGACTCATCGCGTGGTTTAGCCAGACAGTCGTCAAGGTAGAGCTCAAACCTTCGATTTTTCCACTTAAGATCCAACGTTCCTTTCGTTGTTTCATCAGGTTGTGGGTGGTCTGGGCTTGTCATGGCAAGCCTCTTTCGGGATCCTCGTCATGCTCTACTTCTACTCGCACTATTTCTTCGCAAGTGGTGCTGCTCACATCGGTGCTATGTTCACGGCTTTTCTCTCGGTGTCCACCGCGCTTGGAACTCCACCGCTGTTTGGAGCGCTGGTTCTCGCCTTCCTCTCCAATCTCATGGGAGGATTGACGCACTACGGCATTGGATCGGCTCCGGTTTTCTATGGTGCTGGATACGTGCCGCTGTCCACCTGGTGGGGCTATGGATTCTTGATGAGCGTCGTCAATTTGGTGATCTGGTTGGGAGTTGGAGGATTTTGGTGGAAGCTCCTTGGCCTCTGGTAGATCACAACATACACGGCGGAGTATTGGAAGGGACGAACCATTCCAATATTTTTTTCTTCTCTCTCTCTCTCTCTCTCTTGCTGCTGGGTTCTAAGCAGCCTTCCATTTTTCTTTGAACACACACTTACAAAAAGAGATCAAATAAGATTCCAAAGCAGAAACATATAAAAGTTGAGCTAAAAGCCCCGCTGCTTGCATTCTTGATGTAAAGTGATCTGATTAAGAATTAGAGGATTTTGGTGGAATGACCACACAATGGAAGAGAAAAACCATATACATTTTTTATTTTTTATTTTCTGAGCCTTTCATTTAAACCCTTTAGTTTGAGAAATTTTGGAGGTTTAGATGCTGTGTTGCTTGAGAGGAGTATAAAATCAAGCACAAACATACATCAAAGATGACTAAGTAGATCCAAGCGTCATAAAACTTTATTGAGGCAATGTTTAAGACTTTATCAAGGTAGTCCAGTTTTTGGTGAAATGATCACACAATATTATATTTGGAAAAGAACATTTTTTTTTTTTCTGAGCCTTTCATTTAAATCCTTTATTTAGAGAAATTTTAGAGGGACTATAAATGCTATGAAGCAGAAATATATAGCAAAGATGATGAAGTAAATCAAAGTGTCATAGAACTTTACAGAGGCAATGTCTAACAGTGGTAATCAACTAGGTAGGATAGCTCTTCATTTCCATCATGGGGAAGCATATGTACTTGAAAGACTGGCGCTACTACCGCGAGAATTGGAAGCCCCAGAGGCTCAAGAACCGCGGCCCCCCCGCCGGCTTGCTCATCTCCCGCCTCGACGATGCCCTCCTCCGCCTGGACAAGCTCCGCCACCGATCCACCTCGCAGCTCCTCCTCTACGCCAATCTCCTCCGCCAATGCGGCAACCAGCGCGCCCTGGATCACGGCCGCCGCGTCCACGCCCACATCGTCTCGCGCCGCCTCGCGCGCAACGCCCTCCTGGGCGAGCTCGTCTTCCAGATGTACGCTCGCTGCCGCTGCTTCGACACCGCCATCGCGCTCTTCGATGCCATGCCCGATCGCCGCCCATTCTGCTGGAACGTCCTCATGAAGGAGTTCCTGGCCGCGGATCGCCCACGCGACACTCTCGAGCTCTATCGCCGGATGAGCGTGGAGAACACCCAGCCCAGCGCGTGTGGCTTCATGTGGGCGATCGTCGCGTGTGGCCGGATCAAAGATCTCGCCCAGGGCCGGAGCATCCACTACCGCGTGGCCACCGGGCGAGGGATCAACTCCTCGATCCAATCCGCCCTGGTCACCATGTACGCGCAGTGCGGCCGGATCGACCTCGCCATGGCGGCATTTGACGACAACCGCGAGCTCGGCACCGCGCCATGGAACGCGATCATGTCCGCGCTCGCCGGGGCCGGGCACCACCGCCGCGCGATCGAGCTCTTCTTCCAGATGGAGCAGCACCAATGCAGCGATCGATCGTGCGCGATCGCGCTGGGTGCGTGCGCTGCAGCGGGGCATCTGCGAGGGGGGATCCAGATCCATGACAAGATCCAGAGTGAGATCCATGGAACTAGAGTTCTAGTGCTGAATGCGCTCATCTCCATGTACGTGCGCTGCGGAAAACTAGACGAGGCTTTGCGCGTCTTTGCGGACATGCCTCACAGGAATGTCGTGTCTTGGACGTCGATGATCGCAGCAGTTGCCCAAAGCGGGCATTATAGCTTCGCTGTAAAGCTCTTCGATGGGATGATCGCCGAGGGGATCAATCCCAACGAGAAGACGTACGCGAGCGTGGTGAGTGCCATCGCCCATCTGGGCAGGGATGCCATCCTCGATCGGGGGCGGAAGATTCACTCCCAGATCACCGCCAGTGGCATTGACGCTGATCCAATCGTCCAGAACTCGCTCATCAACATGTACGCGCGATCGGGGCTGCTCGCTGAGGCGCGAGAGGTCTTTGATTCGATTCTAGAGAACTCCAAGACCGTCGTGTCCTTCACGACGATGATCGCGGCGTATGCCCACAATGGGCATCCCCGCCAGGCGCTAGAGATCTTCCGCGAGATGACCGCGCGGGGCGTGGCGCCTAACGAGATCACATTCGCGACGGTGCTCGCGGCGTGCGTGGCGATCGGCGACCTCGCCTCCGGAGCCTGGATCCACGAGCGGATGATCGAATCGGGGCTTGATTCCAGCGATCCCTTCGCATACAATTCCCTCGTGGACATGTACGCAAAGTGTGGCGATCTGGGCTTCGCCGCCAGGGTCTTCGAGACCATGAAGACCAAGGATCTCGTCGCCTGGACTACGATCATCGCCGCCAATGTCCAGTCCGGCAACAATCGCGCCGCCCTGGACCTCTACGATCGAATGCTCCAATCGGGGATCCATCCCGACATAGCCACCCTCTCCACGCTGCTCGTCGCGTGTGCCAATCTGGGCGACCTTGCCATGGGCGAGAAGATCCATCGCCAAGCTTTGAGATCCAAGCTCGAGCAGGACGCACACTTCCAGAACGCGCTCGCTGCCATGTACGCCAAATGCGGGAGCTTGGAGAAGGCCACGCGGCTGTACCGCCGCTGCCGTGGCAGTGACGTGGCAACGTGGACGTCCATGCTGGCGGCCCATAGTCAGCAGGGCCTGGCCAGCGTGGCACTCGAGCTCTACGCCGAGATGGAGTCCGAGGGAGTGAGGCCGAATGAAGTGACGTTCATACCAGTGCTTATCTCGTGTAGCCAAGCCGGTCTCGTGGCAGAGGGCCGAGAGTTCTTCCACTCCATCACGTCGGACTATGGAAGCCAGCCCAGCGCCGAGCACTTTGGCTGTATGGTCGACGTCTTGGGCAGAGCTGGGAAGCTCCGGGACGCCGAGGAGTTGCTGGACTCCATGCCGTTTTATCCTGATGAGATCGCCTGGCAGAGCTTGCTCTCGTCTTGCAAGCTCCACACTGATGCCGAGATTGGAACCAGAGCCGCCGAGTGCTTGCTGGAGCTGGATCCGGAGTCGACGTCTCAGTTCGTGGCTCTGTCCCAGATCTACGCTGCCGCTGGAAGAAACTCCGACATTGATGAGATAAAGAGAGAGCTGGCACTGAGAAGACAAATCGAAGTCCACAGGACAACCGGAGAGCTTGCTAATTGGGAATGACCATCTACGAAGTCCTAGGTGATCCCCTCCGTTTCGATGCTGTGCCTTGCTTGTAACAGCAAAGTTGGCGAAGCCAGTGCAGACGAGCGTTGTCTCCTCGGCGATGCTTTGAGCGTGAACCTGGGGACTGGAAGGATTGGGTGGACCGACGGCGTTCCCTTGGTGTCGCTGCTGGCTTTGCCGCTGCACGATCTATCAGCCCAGTAGCCCAGATGCGCGGCCAGGGAGAAGCTCGACAAGGTGCTCGTCACGGTAATCAGAATTCTCAATCTTGTATGAATGTACATACTTCGTTACATTCAAAACGTTGCGAAAGCCACACAACATCACAACATTCTGGAAGAGTTCTACTAAAAACTCTGTATCTTCTCCCTTTTCTCTCTTTCTCGTAGTTTCTTTGATCTTCCATGCGACTTTGATCTCTTCTCTGGTCGCCAGCTTTTCTCTTCTTCAAATTGCTAATTCTATATCTCCATCGATTAGGGTTCCTTGCATTCTCTTCTTCTTCGATCGTCCATTTTTAACCATCCTTTTTCGGTCGTAATGCTGTAATTAATGACATGGCTTGGGACACACTTACGTGGTTCGCAGCTCCCATCATATCTCAACAAGCATGGACTCAAGAGCACAAAGATGTTTTCCACTCACGATCCAATTTTTTCTTTCGTTGTTTCTGGGATGGTCTGTCATGCCAAGCTATTTCTTCACAATGTCGGTGCTATATTCACAATTTTTCTCTCGATGGCCACCGCTTTTGGAATTCCACCGTTGCAAAAGCAAAAAATAAAGGAAAAGAAGGGAAGCTAGATCGATACTTATCACCAATACAAACTGTATTTAAGTTTGTAAGAAAGCTCTAAAACTTCTAGAGGGATATACCTCCCGACTAGACAAGACTACTTGGTCGTCTAGCTTCTTTCTTGTTTGGGCTTGCGGGTAAATGATCTAGAAGGAAATGTCGCGACATTGCGACTGCTGTGGCCCAATCAAACAGTGAATTGGGTGAGTGAGCTAAGAAGCTCAGATGATAATAGATAACTAGAAAGCATCGTTGTCTTTCAATCCTTGCGAATGCCTTCGCCACCGCCACCACCACCAGTGGAACACTGAAAAGTTCACGCACTCTTGCGGGAGTAGCTAGCGTGAGCAATATGTTGTGCTTAGATTCGAACTTGGCCCTCATTGCTGCTGTTCTAGTCACGCAAACCAGCTCCACGAAGATGCTTAAGAAAACAAAAAAGAAACCTGCTGCAAAAGAAAGATGCTTGAAAGGACGAAAGAGCTGCAAGGAAGCAAAGATCTCTCTCAATAGTGAAATTTCATTTTCTTTTCTTGCTGCCTAGGAGAAGGCAAGAGCGTGGCATGGCTCTAATCTTGAAAGACCTTTAGAATCTTTTAGAATTCTTATCATAATTATGTTTATATTTTTAAATATTATTCTCAAAACAAGCATAGTATTGATTATATTAAAATCAATTAAACCTTCATATAAATAAAAAGATGTTAATTATAATATGTATAATTTTTTTAATATAGTAATTATAAATTATGTATAAAAGAGCTAAATTTAATATATAGATAAGTTAGATATTTATTTAAAACTAGTTTATATTTAATTTTTATGGACATTTAAAATGATTATAAGTTGCAACACCAAAACTTATTTGAAAATTTAGATTCATATTAAACATAATTATAATTATAATAAAATTTTATGGAATTTAAAAGATATTTCTAATTGACCATATTACTTTTTTTTTACTGTATATAAATAATTCATTGATTTAAGGTGATAAAACATAAAATTTATATTCAATAGTATTACATGATAAACACTAAGTCATTACAATTGCAAAAAGAGCTTCTTTGTTTAGTGCTGTCTAGTTTGAAGGTTTTTAGAATCACTGAAGAGATCTATTTATATTCATATAAAATTTTAGTTTGAATAAATAGAAATAGTTCTAATAATATATATTTACAATTTATTAAGATAATAAATTGACTTATATACAGATGGTTATGTTTAGATCCAAAATGTGAAGTTGTTAAATTAATATAATAAAAACGTTTAGAAACATATATTCTTTTAAAACGTTTAGAGATAAATAAAAATTATATATATGTATTTTTGATATAACTGGCCATCAAAATAATAAATAATAGAAAATTTAACATAATCTTGTTATAAAAGTATATTCATCAAAACATATTTAAAATATATAATTTTTATATGAAATTAATAATTTTGAAAATCCATCTTTAAATGTTGCAAGTGTATTGTAAATCATGTAAAAAGATTATGTTACATTCAATTAAACTGTACATTTATAACAGCATTTTCAAAAATAATTTTCAAAACATTTTGATAATTTACATAATAAATTATATATTTTATTACATCTAAATTGTTTAAAGTGATTAAAATCTATGCTTATTAATCATTTATAATTTTTAATAACTAAATGATTATTCTTTCCCTATTAAGCATTTGTACTTTTTAGTGATAGTAAATTATAAAATATTATTTAATTATATTGTTAATTTTATTAATAATTTTACTTATTTTTTATTATAAAACAAATATATATCTTGATTAATGTTTTTTATATAGATTATAAACCAATTTTTTTAAAACTCAAATTAAACCCCATGGTATGAGTGCATGGAAAGGGAATACATAAAATGTATACATCAATGTAAGAAACCAACTCCTCGAGGTGTCAAAGGGTAAAGAATCCCCGAAGGCACGACCAAAATGATAAAGAATTCATTAGATGAGATTGAGTTTGAGATTGAGTCTAAGACTGACTCTAAGACTGAGTTCGAGACCGAATTCGAGGCCGAGTCCAAGATTAAGTCTGAGACCGAGTCCAATATCCGATATCGGATCCAAGACCGAGTCTGAGATCAAGTCTGAGATAGAGTTCGAGGTTGGGTCTGAAATCAAGTTTGAGATTAAGTCCGAGACCAAGTCTGAAATTGAGTCCGGTCGAGTCCGAGATCAAATCCAAATACTAATATAGATCATGGGGTGAAAGCTTAAAGTGTGTATCTCCCAAGGGGGGGGGGGGGGAGAGTTGTAAAGGGTTCCAAAAGTATAGTAGGGATAGTGAGGTCTAGGAACTAGTTTTGAAGAAACTCTCCAATGATGCTTCTAAACTGACTTGAGGTTGAGATTGGGGCCGAAGGGCATTGGGTGGGAGTGAGCATGGACTCGGGTGGTGCTAAAGGGACCACCCAAGGAAGTGCTCAAGAGTAGCTCCTACTATCGGAAGGGAAACTGACTACGGTGCTTCCGGCTCATGTGAAATGGTGCCTCATTTGAGTACCATATGGCTCATTGGTCCTCGCCTTTCTTAGGGGTTTGGGCCTTCCCTTCATAATGGAACTGGGGGAGTAGAGGTATCCATACCAGATTGTTAGGCCATAGTGTTTCCCCCTGTGTCCTGAAGCAACTATTGCACCCAAAGCTTGGGATTTAAAGGGTCCCATGATTAAGTTTTGTTGTACCAAGGGATGTTAGAAACCTGGAAGCTTAGTGTGTTTGGCTGCTTGTGCTTGCGGGGAGTGTACCTAAACCTTAAGTCCAGTCTAACCTGGGAAGGGGAATTGGGAGAGATCTGGGAATCCGTGGATGGATGATTAACATTCCGTTGTTCATGCAGTGAGTAGCTGAAACTAAGTAGGACTAAGTAGGAGCTGGTACAATAGGCAAGAACCTTCGCGAGGGAATTTAGCTAAGTCCAAGGCAGTGTTGGTTGGATAGATGAGGTAATCTACTAAATTGGAAAGGAAAAATTTGTGGCTTACAATCAATTAACCCAAAAACCCTTATAAGAGCGAGTGGTCCAGATTGAAATCAATCTAATGGCTACCAAAATCCCACTATGCTAATATTAGTATACAGCATCATAGGCATACACTTGGACCTCACATCATCCCCTCCTCTCGGAATAATGGAAGACTATCAAGGTTCTATTATAGATGGGTAAGGATCTGGAGAAATGTCAGGAGGCATTAGCGGATCTGTAGGTGGTATTAGCTATTCCTGATCCCTTTGGATGAAGCGTTTCAACCATTGCATATGCACAATTTTTGGAGGATTGCTGTAAGGAACCAACTCGCCGAGGTGTCGTAGGCTAAGGGAACCCCGAAAGCATGACCAAAATGACAAAGAGTTCATCGGATGGGACCAAGTCAAAGATCGAGTCCAAGACCGACTCTAGGACCGAGTTCGAGATAGAGTCCGGAATCGAGTCCAAGACCGACTCGGGGACCGAGTTCGAATCCGAGTTCGAGACCGAGTTCGAGACGGAGTCCGAGATCCGAAATCGGGTCCGAGACCCGAAATCGGGTCCGAGACCGAGTCCGAAGTCGAGTCCGAGGTCGGGCCCGAGATCGGGTCCGAGATCGAGTCCGCGATCGAGTCCGAGACCAAATCCGAAGTCGGATCCGAAATCGGATCCGAGATCGAGCCAGAGACTAAGTCCAAATACTAATACGGGTCAAGGGGTGAAAGCCCAAAGCGTGCGTCCCCCAGGGAGGGGGGGCTGCAGGGGGTTCCAAAAGTATAGTAGGGATAGTGAGGTCCAGGAACCAGTTTTGAAGGGACTCTCCAGTTGGGCTTCCAAACCGACTTGAGGTTGGGACTGGGACTAAGGGGCCTTGGGTGGGAGTGAGCATGGACTTGGCTGGTGCCGGAGGGGCCATCCAAGGAAGTGCTCAAGAGCAGCTCCCACTCCCGAAAGGGAAACCGATTGCGGTGCTCCCGGCTCATGTGGAGTGGTGCCCCACTTGAGGACCATGCGGCTCATTGGTCCTCGCCCTTCCTAGGGGCTTGGGCCTTCCTTCGGGATGGAAGTGGGGGGCGAGAGGTACCCATACCGGGCCGTTAGGCCACGGTGTTTCGCCCTGGCGTCCCGAAGCAAGTGTTGCACTCAAGACTTGGGATTTAGAGGGTCCCATGATCAAGTCTTGTGGTACCAAGGGATGTTAGGAAC